GCACACACTGTATATATATTTTCTGTTGTATTTTTGGACTTTATGTTTTTTTACCCCATATGTAACTCTGTGTTGTTGTTTTTATCGCACTGTTTTGCTTTATCTTTGCCAGGTCGCAGTTGTAAATGAGAACTTGTTCTCAACTGGCTTACCTGGTTAAATAAAGGTGAAATAATTTTTTTTTTTTTTTTTTTTTAAAGAGTGCAAAGAACCTTGGCGTGACCCTGGACAACACCCTGTCGTTCTCCGCTAACATCAAGGCGGTGACCCGATCCTGTAGGTTCATGCTCTACAACATTCGCAGAGTACGACCCTGCCTTACACAGGAAGCGGCACAGGTCCTAATCCAGGCACTTGTCATCTCCCGTCTGGATTACTGCAACTCGCTGTTGGCTGGGCTCCCTGCCTGTGCCATTAAACCCCTACAACTCATCCAGAACGCCGCAGCCCGTCTGGTTTTCAAACTTCCCAAGTTCTCTCACGTCACCCCGCTCCTCCGCACACTCCACTGTCTTCCAGTTGAAGCCTGCATCTGCTACAAGACCATGGTGCTTGCCTACGGAGCTGTGAGGGGAACGGCACCTTCGTACCTTCAGGCTCTGATCATTCCCTACACCCAAACGAGGGCATTGTGTTAATCAACCTCTGGCCTGCTGGCCCCCCTACCTCTGCGGAAGCACAGTTCCCGCTCAGCCCAGTCAAAACTGTTCGCTGCTCTGGCACCCCAATGGTGGAACAAGCTCCCTCACGACGCCAGGACAGCGGAGTCACTCACCACCTTCCGGAGACACTTGAAACCCCACCTCTTTAAGGAATACCTGGGATAGGATAAAGTAATCCTTCTACCCCCCCTTACCCCACCCCAAAGAAAAAAAAATATATATTGTAAAGTGGTTGTCTCACTGGCTATCATAAGGTGAATGCACCAATTTGTAAGTCGCTCTGGATAAGAGCGTCTGCTAAATGACGAAAATGTAAATGTAAATGTTAACATCTTTAAGCAATGAGTGGGCTGAGAATTCTGGAATCAATACCTCTGCGACCGGATGGTTTGATGAAATGTTTGGGAAATGGAAAACTATAGTAGCCACAATTTTGGGGGCAGTTATTGCCTGTATGGGTACACTTGTATTATGTGGTTGTTGTCTTATTCCCTGTGTCCGAGGGTTGGTGAGTAAGGAGTTGGAGATGCAGTGTCTCAACAGATGATGAGATATGGACCGACTCTGGACTCTGACCAGTGGAATGTGAAAAACGATCCTCCAGGCTTGGTGGATAATGAGGACTTTGACCCTGATAATCTGCAATTAGATAAAACTGTTATTGGTTCTGACGTGTGAAGGTCATAGGGAAAATCTCAAAAAGAGGACCTATGATTGGAAGTAGATAATAGAACTAATCTCTGAGGTTAATCATGCTTGTAAATACATTTATCCTGATGGTGTAAACATTTAGTCATGTTTACACCATCACATGACTAAAGTGTTCCACCCCGATAGTGTATAAATGTGTAAACTGTGTTAGAGTTATAAGAAAATAGAACCACTAACAGGGAAGATGTTAGAAACTGTTGGAGACGAGCATTCCATAGTAAGGGGTCCACCTAGAAACTGCTGAAACATTCTATACTGTGGAAAGTTACAGGCCGCCTAAAGGTGGGCGGAGCAAAGTCCTTTGTGTGGACGCATATAAAAAGGCTGTGTGTTTTTTTTTAGCGGGAGAGCGCTCTCATTAATAAAATGGCTGATCCCTTGCAGACTGGAGAATTTGTTTAATTCATTCTTAACTAGAGTCTTACACCCTCTGGGGATTATTCAATATACAGAAGATAGCCCTATTTGGTAAAAGACCAAGTCCATATTATGGCAAGAACAGCTCAAATAAGCAAAGAGAAACGACAGTCCATCATTACTTTAAGACATGAAGGTCAGTCAATACGGAACATTTCAAGAACTTTGAAAGTTTCTTCAAATGCAGTCACAAAAACCATCAAGCGCTATGATGAAACTGGCTCTCATGAGGACCGCCACAGGAATGGAAGACCCAGAGTTACCTCTGCTGCAGAGGATAATTAGAGTTCATTAGAGTTACCAGCCTCAGAAATTGCAGCCCAGATAAATGCTTCACAGAGTTCAAGTAACAGACACATCTCAACATCAACTGTTCAGAGGAGACTGTGTGAATCAGGCCTTCATGGTCAAATTGCTGCAAAGATACCACTGCTAAAGGACACCAATAAGAAGAGACTTGCTTGGGCCAAGAAAAACAAACAATGGACATTAGACCGGTGGAAATGTGTCCTTTGGTCTGGAGTCCAAATTTACGATTTTTGGTTCAAACCGCTGTGTCTTTGTGAGACGCGGTGTGGATGAACGGATGATCTCCGCATGTGTAGTTCCCACCGTAAAGTATGGAGGAGGAGGTGTTATGGTGTGGGGGTGCTTTGCTGGTGACACTGTCTGTGATTTATTTAGAATTCAAGGCACACTTAACCAGCATGGCTACCACAGCATTCTGCAGCGATACGCCATCCCATCTGGTTTGCGCTTAGTGGGACTATCATTTGTTTTTCAACAGGACAATGACCCAACACACCTCCAGGCTGTGTAAGGGCTATTTGACCAAGAAGGAGAGTGATGGAGTGCTGCATCAGATGACCTGGCCTCCACAATCCCCCGACCTCAACCCAATTGAGATGGTTTGGGATGAGTCGGACGGCAGAGTGAAGGAAAAGCAGCCAACAAGTGCTCAGCATATGTGGGAACTCCTTCAAGACTGTTGGAAAAGCATTCCAGGTGAAGCTGGTTGAGAGAATGCCAAGAGTGTGCAAAGCTGTCATCAAGGCAAAGGGTGGCTATTTGAAGAATCTCAAATATAAAATATATTTTGATTTGTTTAACACTTTTTTTGGTTACTACATGGTTCCATATGTCTTATTTTATAGTTTGATGTCTTCACTGTTATTCTACAATGTAAAAATAAAGAAAAACCCTTGAATGAGTAGGTGTGTCCAAACTTTTGACTGGTACTGTAGTACCTAACATCTGATTTGGACCAAACTCTTTTCTAACAATGACTAAAGAAATGGTCAAAAGCCACCCACGGACCCCCCACACCAAACCCACCCCAACAACCAGTATACAGTATCAGTTCTCTATGTCTGACAAGTAGTATGGAGCTGCTGCTCTGAGTTTTGTTTCTGAGGCTCTGAGTATTGCTTCTTCGTCCTATATAATGTATTCTCCGTGAATTTGGTGATTTTTTATGGAGGACTAAAAGTGCCACAATTAAATAAATAAATACACCATTAAATAATTACTTAAATGTGTCATTAATTAATTAAAATTAGAATTAAATACATAAATGTGTTATTAAATGTGTCATTAATTAATTCAAATACCGATTCATTTTATGTAAAATACATATATAATAATTTCACTATTTACATTTACATTTCATGGTCCTGCGTTGGAGTGCTTCCTGAATTACTTAAAACTGTCAAACTGACCCATCAAAAGTTGGTAGGCGGAACCTAACGCCTGATTGGTTACCCTCTGCATCAAGCCAAGACAAATCAATTCCGGATAATGTCAGCAGGTCCTGCTTCTACATCCTCTGCTAAGTTTAAAATGTCTCTAACCAACTCCCTGGAAAGTTCACGGAGATCCTCCATTGTCTCTATCCAGGTTGGCCTACTCTACTTCAGACCAAAGCAATGGATCAGACTAGATTCGCGTTAGCCCCGCCCACTGACTTTGATGGGTCAGTTTGACAGTTTTAAGTAATTCATGAATCACTGCAATGCAGGATCATGAAATGTAAATGTAAATAGTGAAATAATTATATATGTATTTTACATAAAATGAATCGGTATTTGAATTAATTAATGACACATTTAATAACACATTTATGTATTTAATTCAAATTTTAATTAATTAATGACACATTTAAGTAATTATTTAATGGTGTATTTATTTATTTAATTGTGGCACTTTTAGTCCTCCATAATTTTTTCCCCCCCTCTGTTCAGAGAAATTAGTCATTGAATTTAGGTTGATGTCCCATCCGATATCCTGACATTACCACGTTCTGACCACTAGATGGTGCTGTTCCTGCTAGTAGGTGTTTTCTTTTTTAGTATATTCAGAATTATCCTGCAGATTGGGGTTTATTGTTTGATAGAGAAGTCAGAGACTGGCAGTTTATATATGTTTTACTTTATTTATTGTGGAACTAAATTATCTATTTCTCATGTTGTGCATGGCCATATATTTCAGCATGTCTGTAATTACAGTTCCAGTAGTCTCACATATTATGAGGAAGGTACTGTCCTGTTTAAAATACTCAAGAAGCTATGCTTGCTTACTTTTTACTTCATGTAATCATGAAACAAACACAGGGGAATGCTACAAGAAATGTAATCTTGTTTAGACTGATTGAGCATCATTGTAATGCCGTACAAAATAATTACGTTACTCATCGACGTCACAGTTGCGTGACTTCACTTGGCCAACGTCGCAGTCACAATACAGCCTGAAAAATCTTTGTTCTGTCGCAGACTTGCAAGTGTCTTATAAGCCATTTCGCTCGCCAGGTAAGTAGCTACTAGCAAGTAAGTAGCTCTCTTTAGTTAGTAGCTATATAATTCAAAGTTATCTCCAAATACTACTATAAAGATGACAACGAAGCATGCTTCTAGTCGAATAATTGAATGTTAGCTAGCAGAATATGTTGTTAGTTAGCTAGCTAAATTAGCTAGCTTGTCTGACAGAATGTTTTGAATATCCCAGCAGACAGTTGGATGTTATTTTGTTGCAATCAGTCAGGTGAGATGGCTACAAGTGTGGCAGAGTTCAAATGTATGTACACTACATTGTTTGTGACTTTGGCCGTAGTGTTGATATCCTTACTTCCCCCACGTGGTCCCTGACTGAAGAATGTAGTTATGTGCATATGTACATCCATTTGTGTGTTTGAGTGGGTTTTTATTTTGTTCCAAGGATGTCGGTGAACGAGGAGCGCACTGTGACCATACAGGACATACTGGAAGACGAGGAGCTGCAAGAGGCTTATGCAGTGTTGGCTGGAAGTGATCCAGATAATTGTTCCTATCCCCAGGTAAAGATGCTGCCTGCCCCACATCTGTAGTGTGTATCGCCACATCCAGAGAACTGCCACTGACCCCAGGTTCAGTGTGGCCTTTTGTGTCTTTTTTCTGTTACTATGATATGTCATCAGGGACCTCAACCAATCGAGCCACGACCTGTTCTCCCCGCTTCCATCACTCAGATGCGGGCAGTACAGGAGCATCATGGCTAAAACTAACACACTGACAAATAGCTTCTACCCCCAGACCATCAAGCTGCTGAATAGACACCACTAGTCCGCTACCTGCAACTCCTGCACCCTCCATTTTATTTTCTTCCCCCACCCTAAACTGACAATTACCCTGCCCACACCCCAATGGGCATTTATATTTATCATTGTCACAGTTGTAAATATGTATACATTATTTTTTATTATTATATCATTCACACCTGCACTGTTGGAGCTCAGAGCTTAAGCATTTCACAGTACACTGCAATTACATCTGTGACCCTGTGCGTGTGACTAAATAAAAAATACAATATCTATTCTATTGTGTTACAGGGATACTTGAAGAGACAGGCTGTTTTTTCCTGCAGCACTTGCACACCCATAGGGGTAGAACCTGCTGGGCTCTGCCTTGCCTGCACCAACCATTGCCATGATGGGCATGACATATTTGAGCTCTACACAAAAAGGTATGAACCTGATGCAAAGGGACGTTCACAAATTCCAGGAGTACAAATAACACTAGGGGTCAGGTAGCTGTTTACATTTCCATACTCATTGTAGGACTTGTTGAGGTCTTGACGTTGCATATTCCTTATTTGCTTCTATTTGTTTGCATGTAGGAATTTCCGCTGTGATTGTGGAAACAGCAAGTTTGGCGAGTTTAAGTGCCAGCTAAGTCCTGTAAGTGTCCTAATGTCCTATCTACCCCTCAGCCATGTCATCCTGACAGCTGAAAACATTGTTGCTTGATTTCCATTGTTCCTTTTCCCTTTGCAGGGCAAAGACCAACAAAACACTAAAAACCATTACAATCACAACTTCCATGGCTGTTACTGTACCTGTGACAGACCTTACCCAGACACTGACGATCAGGTATGGATTTAATTCCAGCATTACGAATCATTCCCTTTCTCCATAAATTAATACATGTTTTAATTCTGTCTGAATCATAGGCTTTGTTGATATGCTTGGTCTCTAGGATTCAGTTCATGTGTTGTTGAAAGAATGATGGATATGTCATTCCTCATCACAAAACACCCTCTCATGCTTCCCTCCCCCCCACCCACCCATAAGGTTAATGAGGATATGATTCAGTGCATCATCTGTGAGGACTGGTATCATCCCAGGGTATGTATTGGGGGCAACATCATGATTGTTTTCAGGTGTCTTTCGAGATCTAAACTATGTTCGCTGGGATAATGGTTTTGATACAAAGACAGGAATGATTACTCCTCCTTGACCATGTGGGCATTCTCTGTGACAGCACCTGGGTTGTACGGTGGAAGACTCGGAGGAACTGCAGGAGATGGTGTGTGAGACCTGCATGAACAAAGCCCCCTTCCTCTGGACATACGCCGCCCACTTCGCAGGTGTGTTATATCCCTCCCACTGACGGAAGGAGGCAGCTAGGGATCCAGAGCACTGGGCTTGGGTTACACCTCCCCCCACCATAAATGGGTACTACTTATGAAAGTAAATCTCTTCCCCCTTCGAACTAGCTAAAGATGGGAGATATCAGTCTTCTTCATCTAGGGATAATTTGGGTTAGGTTTTTAGTGCACAGACAGTGACAATGAATTGGACCTGATCACTATACAATGTCATACCCTTTATGAACATCCTGCAGTTAAAACAATGGCAATGTATGTTGTTTTTTTCTGCCAAGAACCTCCCGTGGTCAAAGTGAGCCCCTGTAAAGAGGAGGTTGAAGTGAACGTGGAGGAAGATAAGGAGCCAGAGGAGAAGAGGGATGAGCCCTGTAAGAACGGGGGCGAGGGGTCCTCCACCAGCCCCAGCTGTCAGAAACAGGAGAAGGTAAGGAGAGCCAAGCTTTGACTTCTACAATTGCGTTTGAAACCCAGACTCCTAAGTGCATGACTCACCACTTGCACCAAGCAAATGGGAATGACATCAGGGTGAGGAGAGGAACTCTCTCTGTACTGTTGGCTGTGTTTCCATTGAAGGCAGACATAAACACCCATCTATACTTAAGCAGACATTTGGTTAACACTGCCTGCTAAACCAATTCATACATTCTTCAAGAGTCATCCACTCAGCTATTTGGTGTGATTTGCAGTGCATGTCACCTGACTCTCAGCAGATGGCAGTGGAGGGTAATGTATTGGGCGGATGCAGACAGTGGACTCCTGTTCCTGTTGTGCTGCCCTCTCCTCTGGGTAATTAGGGAAGAAATTATCCATGGGACACAGATTCCCCTGCTCTGGGGACTGGCTTGGCCAGGCTTCACAGCTCAGCTTACTGTAAACAAGACTGATTTCATCAGCCCACCCTCTCATCGTGTCAACTCCTATTAGAGAGCTTGTGTGTCACCAGAGTGTCGCCTCCACGGGGGATCGGTCCCTCTCTTCCTCCTCGTTCTCCAGTAACACAATCCTGAAAAGCCTAAAATGTAATGCATGTTTTCTCCCTTGCTGTCTTCTGTCCAGAAGCAGGCTATAAATGGGAGGACTGCCTGCAAACGGACTCACCAGGAGATGACAGGCCTTCCTGTGAAGAGCCAGGCCAAGACTGTGTACTGCAGGCTGAGGGAGCTGAAGACCCAGGGCCTGGAGAGAGCTAGGGAAGGGGCTGTGTTCTGGCCTTACCACTGGAGAGCCAAGCTGTGCACCTGCGTCAGCTGCAAGGTGGGTCACTAAAGATGCTTCTCTCTTGACTGTTTTTTGCCGTGACTGATTTCAAAAACAGTGCAGCCACTGTTTTTAGCTATTTGATGTGGAACAAATAGATTGCTGTAGCTAACTGTTTCATTGAGTTGTATTTGAGGTAGTTATAGACTTTACTGACCGTTCAGCACATTGTAGTGTCAGCCCTTTGGATTGGATAAAGAGCTGTTTTCATTGTATGTTTGGTGTTTCTGCTCAGAGGGCCTACGTCGATGCGGGAGTGCAGTTCCTGCTGGATGAGTCAGACACTGTCCTGGCCTACGAGAACAGAGGCACTATAGAGCAAGGAACTGCTAGTCTCGACAGTCTACTCATGTCAGGCCTGAGTACTCTGGACCGTGTGCAGCAACTGGAGATAGTTTACCGTAAGGATGGGGACCATCTTTTTCATTCCTTTTGTTTGGCAGTTATTAACTGTAGATGTAACCTAACACGGTGGGTTTCTAACCATTTGATGAAGTAAAATGTTCCTTCATTCAGAGTTCAATGAGATGCAGACTGAACTGATGGCGTTCCTACGGCAGATTGCTGATGAAGGAAAGGTGAGGATCTGTATGTTTGTTTGCAGAGGACAAAATGTCTGGCGGTAATTCCAGAATGTTTCCAATAATTCTGAGAGCACATGAACCCAGCATAGGAAACCAATATAATTTATGAGCAGCAGTCCATAGGTTACTTGTCACGTCAGCTCTTGCTTGATTGTCATTGATCTGCTTGGGCCCAAACAATAGCTGAAAAGCCGAACAAGCACTGCTGACAAGTACTTTGGTCATTTACCTCTAACCTCGATTGAACCACTCCTCCCCTCTCCCTCAGGTTGTCACAGCAGAGGCCATCCACCAGTTCTTTGGGGAGCTGATGTCCAGGAAGAGGCGGCAGATGAACAGCTGATGTCATTCTGCCCCTCAGTGTCCTGTTGTCTACTTGTTTTTTAATGTTACTTTGGGGTCATAGCAAAACAACAATTCTATGTCCCTCAAACACCTTCTGCTTTAAATAAAAGTGCTGCTATAAAATATGCTGTTACTGAGGTTTGAAGTTGAATAATTTGCTAAAAGGTTGTTCTTGAATGGGTCTCCATGGATTTCAAATGGTGTTCCTTGTCTTGTGAGAAGCTGAACGACCGTGCAAGTTAGCATGCTGTCAGCGGGCTTGGAGAGTAGCTGATGGAATTTAGTCATTTTAATCATGGACTTAAGACTTAATGTACCTAATAACACAAAGTTTTCATTAGACTTTCATAATGTGACACCCGATGAGGATGCACTGCCATTCATATTGAAACGTAACCATTTGATGGTGTCACTGGTATTCCTGAAAATTAAACATTTTGGAATAGTTCATCCAGCATACTGTGTGATGTGATTCTACAGCTACCGATCATCCAAATACCAGAAGGTACTCGTAGATGCTTTACAAGGTTGAACTAAATGATTTACCAGTCCAGAATTATAATGAAGCAGTTTATTTCGAAGATGCCCAAGTTCATCACTGTTATGCACCTTTTGAGTTAACAGTAGAAAAATAGAACCAGTAAAACCAAATACAATTTAGTACAGGGATCTACAAAAGTCTTTACATAGATTGTACAGTGGACCTGTTCAATTAGAAAGTTCAACATACAATCAACCACAAAGTTCCAGAGGCTTCAATTTCAAAGGTACCTAAACACAAAGACAACATACACAAATAACTAGCTACATGACTTTTACCAAGGGCTATTTGATGCAGGCTGGTAAGCTGGTAGAAAAGGCTTGCATAGGACATCAGTCACTTCTCCAATAAAAGCCCAGCCTCTGGCAGGGGAAGGCACTGACTTCTACAGTAAAGAGCAAACGGAGGATGTGGAGTTTTTTTATTCATGGGAACACTGTCCTGGAAAATAAAGCAACTAACCAACATAAACATGAGGAGGAATCTAAAGTTTTGCATTTTTTCCCCCCATGAAGCAAACTGGATGGAAAAAAGGGTTCTCTGCCCAGCAGCTTCATTACCACAATGCAGAGCGAATATCCAGTGAAAATCTCACTTTTAAAAGTGCATACTGTTAACTCGTATCCAAATAATGTTGTTGACTTGTCCTACAGTGGGGGAAGAAAGTAGTTGATCCCCTGCTGATTTTTTTTGTGTATGTTTTCCCACTGACAAAGAAATGATCAGTCTATAAATGGTAGGTTTATTTGAACTGTGAGAGACAGAATAACAACAACAAAATCCAGAAAAACACATGTCAAAAATGTTATAAATAGATTTGCATTTTAATGAGGGAAATAAGTATTTGACCCCCTCTCAATCAAAGATTTCTGGCTCCCAGGTGTCTTTTATACAGGTAACGAGCTGAGATTGGGAGCACACTCTTAAAGGGAGTGCTCCTAATCTCAGTTTGTTACCTGTATAAAAGACACCTGTCCACAGAATCAATCAATCAGATTCCAAACTCTCCACCATGGCCAAGACCAAAGAGCTCTACAAGGATGTCAGGGACAAGATTGTAGACCTACACAAGGCTGGAATGGGCTACAAGACCATTGCCAAGCAGCTTGGTGAGAAGGTGACAACAGTTGATGCGATTATTCGCAAATGGAAGAAACACAAAAGAACTGTCAATCTCCCTCAGCCTGGGGCTCCATGCAAGATCTCACCTCGTGGAGTTGCAATGATCATGAGAACGGTGAGGAATCAGCCCAGAACTACACGGGAGGATCTTGTCATTGATCTCAAGGCAGCTGGGACCATATTCACAAAGAAAACAAATGGTAACACACTACGCAGTGAAGGACTGAAATCCTGCAGCGCCTGCAAGGTCCCGCTGCTCAAGAAAGCACATATACATGCCCGTCTGAAGTTTGCCAATGAACATCTGAATGATTCAGAAGAGAACTGGGTGAAAGTGTTGTGGTCAGATGAGACCAAAATCGAGCTCTTTGGCATCAACTCAACTCGCCGTGTTTGGAGGACGAGGAACGCTGCCTCTGACCCCAAGAACACCATCCCCACCGTCAAACATGGAGGTGGAAACATTATGATTTGGGGGTGTTTTTCTGCTAAGGGGACAGGACAACTTCACCGCATCAAAGGGACGATGGACGGGGCCATGTACCGTCAAATCTTGGGTGAGAACCTCCTTCCCTCAGCCAGGGCATTGAAAATGGGTCGTGGATGGGTATTCCAGCATGACAATGACCCAAAACACACGGCCAAGGCAACAAAGGAGTGGCTCAAGAAGAAGCACATTAAGGTCCTGGAGTGGCCTAGCCAGTCTCCAGACCTTAATCCCATAGAAAATCTGTGGAGGGAGCTGAAGGTTCGAGTTGCCAAACGTCAGCCTCGAAACCTTAATGACTTGGAGAAGATCTGCAAAGAGGAGTGGGACAAAATCCCTCCTGAGATGTGTGCAAACCTGGTGGCCAACTACAAAAAACGTCTGACCTCTGTGATTGCCAACAAGGGTTTTGCCACCAAGTACTAAGTCATGTTTTGCAGAGGGGTCAAATACTTATTTCCCTCATTAAAATGCAAATCAATTTATAACATTTTTGACATGCGTTTTTCTGGATTTTTTTGTTTGTTATTCTGTCTCTCACTGTTCAAATAAACCTACCATTAAAATTATAGACTGATCATGTCTTTGTCAGTGGGCAAACGTACAAAATCTGCAGGGGATCAAATACTTTTTTTCCCCTCACTGTATACTCATGTGGCAAAAGCATTTTAAAAAAAAAACACAAAACCCCACCTGAAACTTTTCACAGGCTGTTTAAAAAATGCTTGCTATTTCCTTATAGGACATGTCATCTCCCTGAGGAGGATGAGCTGGCCAATCAGCGGTCTACTCGCGCAATATTATTAATGACTGGTATACGCCAACACCATTCCAACACAAAGCTGCTTTTTAACATACTTAATTATAATTTTTTTGGAAGGAAAACTCATATTGTAAGTAATTATAGGTCATATTTCATAGAAATCTGGAAACACTGGGCGGTTTAAAAAACAAATGGTATAAAACCTACAACTTAATGGTATTCCACACCAATAACAATATTAAAACATTTTCCTAAAATAAAACATTTTAAGAACAAAAATAAAAAATAAAGTTTGAGCCTAACCATCTTTCCGACTATCCTTTCTAGGTGAAATGTGGTGCTGAACAACCTCAGTGTAGTCCACCACAGCTACTAAACAGCTGACTAATTCATTTATAGTACCACCACTAAGATATAATAAGGATTTCTGTTTGTACAGTATATTAAAATATTAAATGATTATTTATGATTCCTGCTCAGGATTTCTGAATGGTAGAAATGCACGTGACAGAGGCCATCAGATTGTATTTATTTAAGAATTATGCAGTTGTTCTGGAGCTCTTTAGTTCTAAATTCATTTGTTCCTATTTCCCCCCCCCCCCATGTGAAATTGATCATTCCTACAGTGCAATGTTGCCTATGTTATGTATCATGGGTTTGTCCGTTTTTGTCAGAGGAGACAGGTGTGGCTGATCTTACAGGATCTGATGGGTGCACTTTGGTTTCTATAGCAACAGCCCCAGTAGCTCTCATACAGTATGCCATCACCTGACAACAGAGAGCAGGTCTTTGCAGGTCCAGGATTGGCCAAAAGGTGGCGTGACGGTGGTCACATAGGACATGGGAACAACACAAATGAACATCAGACTGAGGACATGTGAATGGATAGTGTGTTTAGAGAGTGAACAGAAGAGTCACACAACTAGGAGAGCCAGTGGTGGCATCACGCTTGTGATGGATCCCTTATGGTCACTTCAAAAAGTGGATTAAGGCTTCTAATTGTTTATGCCATTAAAAGAGCAAAGTGTTTTCAAGCATATTGACCACAGCATTATATGGTCGGTCTCTGGTTAATCATCTCAGAGCCTCGTGTTGATATGTAAATACAGACCTGATTAAAGATGGATAGTGAGTGTACAGTACTGAGATTGTTTATACAGTTACCTGGGAGTACGAAACGACACACATACAACCACACACACGTTCAGCTGAAATTAAACATCTGACTAGCGTGTTCATTGCACCCTTATCTTCCCAGTGTACCTCAGTCATGAACCTCTGCCCCCACCCTCCTGTCTCATTCCAAAAAACCCCAGGCTCATATTTTTGAGAACAACAGTGGTATCCAAAGAGAACAATGACAGCCTGCACAGACCTACTTCCAGCCTGAGTCTATTACTCATCAGCATTCCTGTGTAACGTGCAGCACCAGGAAGGAGAAATCAAATGTAACCAGTCAGGTGAGGTACGTACTGGAGGAATGCTACAGGAAGAGAGACGAAATACAAATGAGAGGAGCAAGAAAATAGACATGTTTTTATCATGAAGATAACGCTGATTGGAGCTATGTGCTGGTGTTCACTAGTTTACACTGAGATCCTATTTATATATCTCCCAGTTAAAGTATATGCTGAGGACTACAGTCCTTCTGTATATTACACATCCTCAGCACATCTGAACTACATTACATGGTTACGATCATAATATCTTTGTTATGATCTTCTTTATGATATGATCTTCGTTCCCGATTCCCACAACAAACCTGTGGTGCAACAAGGCTCAAGCGAAATAGACAAAACCCCTCCTAAACAGTACTGCTGGAGTTATATTGTAAAACTGCAGCATTGAGGTTGGCTTCAGCAAGCTTCAATTCAACAGTCTGACAGTCACTGCGGTTTCTCTAACTAACCTACAGTCCTGATGCTGCTTATCTGTAGCACTCAGAGGAGACGTGAGGTGAAGACAGCACTATGTCATGGAGGGAGGGCTGGAGGAGGTGGGGTACTTACACATACACACACAGTCTATACATAGAAACCATTAGCCACCCCTTCACACACACTCATTAGTGCTTTGCTGTCCATGACAGAGGGTTGTTTCCCTCACTTTCCCTTTTGACAACTCAACCCCAGGTCCTCCCCGAGGGTTATAGTGCAGACTTCTTGTAAGGGTAATCAGGGTTGTTGGGTGACCTGTGGTCTCTGTTAGCCTCCTCGCTAACACTGTTCCTATGAGGCTGCTGGGCCCCTGCACCTGGGGACTCGCCAGTAACCCCCATCTCCTTCGGGCCTTCCCTGTGGGCCGACGACCGCTCCTCATACCCATCTAGGTTTCCACTTGGGGAGCCACACAAGTGGCCAAGACCGTGAGTAAGGTCAGTCTCATTGTTTGATCGTCCTCTGGGGACGTGTCCTGCCTCGGCCTGGGGACCAGAGGAATTAGCCAGAGCTCCATCCTGCCGCTGGGGTGGCAGGCCTAGGACATCCAGGCGCAGGGGGTCCGAGCGTGCCTCGGCTGCCTGTCCCTGGGTGTCAGACACGTAAGATGGAGGGAGGCTGCTGGAGGAGCTGCGACTGTGGCTGTAGAGGTCTGGCCCTGCGTAGGGGGGCAGGGGGTGGCTGGAGGTTGCGGTGGTTGGTCGGCAGGAGAAGTCATACAGGTCAGGGAACTCTGCCTGGGCCTCCAGCTTAGGCTCTGGAGCGTGCCTCTTACAGGAGTGACCATGGCCGAGGCTGAGGCGAGTGGAGGGACAGGGTCCAGGGGGGAGGTGTGAGGCCATGGGGCCGTGAGGGTTGTGACCGTCCCTGTCCACCATATGGTGCTCCCTCAGGGTCATGACAGAGACGCCCAGAGCGATGTCAGGCATGAACTCCCTCATCACAGGCTCCATGCTCAGCTGGAGAGACAGACAGAAGCACACAAACACTGCTAGTTAGAGCTATACATGACCACAGCACAATACACTTCTACAGCTACAATGACCAAAAGCAACACAAACACAGCATGACATGTTGACCTTCACCTGTGGTTCTGCGAGCAGGGCTCGGCCCATGGCCTGGGGGTTGCTGCAGTCTGGAGGTGGAGGCCTAGGGGCGGAGGGGTAGTCTGGGCTGCCATGCTTGGCTGTAGTGTGGAGCTGGAGCAGGGTGTGGTTACAGGGGTAAGAGAAAGAGCGGGTGGGGGGTGGGATGGGCACACGGGGCCTCCAGGCCCCCTTCAGCTGGGCATGGCTGGGGGTGGCAGGGGGGTGGTACGGGGGTGGAGGGGGAGGCAGCGGGGGGTGAAACCCAGCCATGCCCTCCAGGTCTGAGAACATGCTGTCCATCGCTGGGCTGCTGTTGACCCGACAACGACCCGCCTGGCGCAGGGCCAGAACAGGACTCTCGTCTCCAAAACGCTCCTCTGGGAAGAACTTGTAAGGGTTCTGAGAATAAACAAACAAAACATTTAGTATCCCAAAAACCTTCTACTATAAACACACACAAGTCATTACATAGTACACTAAGTGAGATATACTTTTGTCTTTCAGGGCGAAGGTCTTTAGGACTGAGGTCTCCCTCTATCAAGTCTACAGCCTAGTCCTCCCTGTACCCAAGGGTGTTTCCCCTCACCTGCAGTAGCTCAGTGGCCCCGTCCGCCAGGCCGAACTCCCTCAGCACACGCAGCTGCAGCTCATAGCTGACGGTGGCCCCCTCGCCACAGTTGAGAGCATAGGCCCTCTGGACCTGGTCTGTGTGACTCAGCTCCTGCAGCCTCCGGATCATCTCCTTCACCACCGCCAGTCTGGGTACTGACAGCACAGACCGACACACAGAGGATTAGTGGACCATGTCAATGTTTCTAATATGTTATACAAAATGGCTTCCTTATTGGCACCAGTCTTCTCCTCTTACCTGGGATCTCATTGGCTACCACGGATGGGGCGGTGGTCTGCTTGCTGGCCATCTGCTGATGGTTGATCATGTGACAGCACTGTGGCACGGCGTTGTTGACCATGTAGAGGGTGTCGGGCACGTTGGACATGCGCACCAAACGCAGACGCACCAGATCTGTCTGCTCCACCATCATCTCATCCAGCACAGACTGAGGGGAGAAGGAGACGGGTTAGGAGTCTGTCATACCCTGGCCCAAACCCTCTCATAGAGATGAGATAGAAGAGAGATAAAATGCTCTCTGTTAACCGTGCTGATTGTCATTAAGCCCTAGATGTGGAGTGTCCTACCTTGGCCTCCTCCACGTAGGGAGAGAAGAGACGTGGTCGCACATAGATGCCAGCGTTCTTCTGCCGTAACCACGAGTTGGCCTTGCCCCCCTCAGTCGTGGGCAGCATGTCCGAGGGAGGGGTGCTGATCAGACCCCTCTTTGTCTGTGGATGGAAAGTGGGTCATTTAAAGAGAACACACCCAGAAGGACAGGTCAATCAACAACTAAGCCATTAATAGGGCATCCATGATAGATCGATAGATTGATTGCACAATATGTATTGGCAGCAGAAACTGTATTGAAACATCCATATGACGCATCATCCATGACTACTAACCGTGTCAGAGAGGACGTCGCTGTTGGCAGGGAGGATGTGCTCGGTGCGGATGAAGGGAAGCAGGGGTGACAGGATATCCTTTAGCTCCTCCACATCCAGGTCCTTCCTCTTCACCCCCCGCTTGTTCACGCTGTGGGCTGTTCCGCTCAGCACGTTGGGCTCTGGGAAAAGAACCCGCCCCCAAAACACACACAGTTAGTAGGGACTCTATATATAATTATATGGTTAGTAAGGCCAACACACACACTCGTTATTTTTTTATGATACAGTATTTTCAGTTGGGTTCAGAGTCACACAAAAACAAAATACTGCAATCTACGATCGAGGTGCTTCAGAGTCTCCCATTTTAAGGATAAAACTTGGCTTCTTTTATAGTCTTTTAGAGTGTATTTTGGAGGCGCTGGTACTGTAAGTGGGTGATTTTCCAAGAGCCATTAGAAGGCTTGCTCGGAGGGTAATTATAGAGTGTATCATCTTACCCCTGTCTGCCATCCTCTTAATAAGCTGCTGCTCGCCCCACTTCACAACGTACTTGAGAATGTCCTGCTCACTCGCCTGTGAGAGAGAAGAGGGCAGGGGAGGGGTGCGAGAGAAAAAAGATAGCGGGATGAGAGGGGGATGGTGATAGGGAAGGAAAGGAAAGGAAAGGTTAAACATTGCAGTGTGGAGCAACATCTGAAGAGGCGGTTCAGTGAGGAGACTTGAATATTTGGTTGATGGTGTGACATGGTGTAGTTGTAGCTGAGAGTTGTATTTGTCTGATTGGATTACAGCGTTTCACCTCAGCCGTCCTGTGTGACACCCAGGGAGCTTGGCACAACAGAGCAGACCAGAGCTCAGCTTCAATTAGAGGCCATGTTAGAAGGCAATGCCTCCAGGGAATGTTCTCACTGTCTGTGCTCCAGACCCTGTGTGTTTGGGTTTGTGTTTATGCATCTGTGTGCGTGTTGCCACTCTTCACTAAATAATTTTGTCAAACCAATCATGCCCTAGCTGCCTAGTCAGCCATTGTAATCAAAGCACTGACTACAGCGTCATTTGGACAGGATTAGGGATGGGCATTTGACATGTTTTGACTGTTCAAGTACTGGCATAGTACGAGTGGAAAAATATATGCCAACAGTGAGCAACAATACCTAATTTATCATAACCATTACAGATAACAAATCCTAATTGCTAAATTGCCCCAAACATACATACATTCAGTCAATAAAAAAACAAATGCCATTTAAGATTAATTTATTGAAACCGTAATATCAACTGGTTATATTATATTGTGGAACACAATCTTCAAAAAGGCAGTAACCTCAGCAGTAACCTCCGCATTGGCGCTTGCTTATAGAAGCCTATGGTGCAATGGCATAGCCTTGTTTTGTTAATTTAGCAGACAAGAGGCTCTTATTTCCAGAGCCCTATTCACAGTCAAGACACACCTATGTTATAGTAAAAAAACATGATGTAATATAACAGACTAAAATAGAACATAATATTTTTCCAGTGCGAAGTGATGCGCATCTCACGTCTGGAACAATTATTCTCAATGAGTGATAATTTGAAACAGGAATCAAGTTGAAAGACAATTATTTCAGGGTTACAAACCAAAATCGGTTTTCTTTTCGATATATATTCCGCCTGTTCTTTGGATTTTTCCAAATGAATTAACAATTCCACATTGAACACGGCATGTGGATGAATTATGGCTACGCCATCAGTTTGGTGAGTAGGCCTACGCTCAGTCTTTATCAAACTAATGTGTTTGCGTATTTTCAGTGTGGAACCTGTATGTTTAGGGGGCTTATAGCCTAGGCTAACCAATTCTAAATGGCACTAGCAGTTCACAAAGTAGCCTAAGCAGAAAATAGACAGGATGCAATTATTCCAAAACTGCAGCTCATTGTTGAAACACATTTTCCCAACTTCAATTTGTGATAAAGCTGACGTCATTTGGCAAGGAATGTGGCTTGTGTATCCCATCAGTTAAATATGTTTTTATAGGCATTTATTTATTCAGGCCTAACGGGAGCTTGTGTGTTGAGGGAGCGTTCAGAACGCAATTGAGTGAGAGAGAAACAGAGGGGAAAGGGAATTTAGGGAGAAGAACTGTGTGATGCTTGGCTTGGTTTCTTTTTTGTTGTACCCCGCAAATGCACATGTACAAATGGAACACTAGAGTCAAAGCAAATTAACGTCGTCTTCAGGACAATATGTAATTTTCTTTTGGGACAACATTTCACTTGCCCATTGGGCAGACACAAAGCACATTCCACCAAATAGTTTTACAGTATTTGAAAAGGAAAAGTGATCTCTGCTTAAAAATCAGGTTTTGTACGTCCGTTCGAGTACTCGATTACTCATGCCCATCCCTAGACAGGATATGATCTTTGGACTCTGTGGAGATACATCCAGTCCAATCACACAGACAGCGGCGTGGGTCTCACCTGTAGGTAGTCTGACTGGATAGCTGTGAGCAGGTGCTCCTTGCTGAGCTCGTAGAGTACGTCAGAGGTCATGACCTGGCTGAACTCCTCACACAGGAAGTGCAGGGCCTGGCGGTGGACCCACTTAGAGCCATAGGGCTGAGAGCTCCACTTCAGGATGGGGACCAGGCAGTCCAGGGACAGGCTCTCCACCACAATGTCCTCACAGCCTGGGTGAGGAGACAGGAACACAGACCACAGGGGTCATATACAGTTGAAGTCGGATGTTTACATACACTTAGGTTGGAGTCATTAAAACTTGTTTTTCAACCACGCCACAAATGTCTTGTTAACAAACTATAGTTTTGGCAAGTCGGTTAGGACATCTACTTTGTGCATGACACAAGTCATTTTTCCAACAATTGTTTACGGACAGATTATTTCACTTATAATTCACTGTATCACAATTCTAGAAGGGTCAGAAGTTTACATACACTAAGTTGACTGTGCCTTTAAACAGCTTGGAAAATTCCAGAAAATGATGTCATGGCATTAGAAGCTTCTGATAGGCTAATTGACATCATTTGAGTCAATTGGAGGTGTACCTGTGGATGTATTTCAAGACCTACCTTCAAACTCAGTGCCTCTTTGCTTGACATCATGGGAAAATCAAAAGAAATCAGCCAAGACCTCAGAAAACAAATTGTAGACCTCCACAAGTCTGGTTCATCCTTGGGAGCAATTTCCAAACACCTGAAGGTACCACGTTAATCTGTACAAACAATAGTACGCAAGTATAAACACCATGGGACCCCGCAGCCGTCATACCGCTCAGGAAGGAGACGCGTTTTGTCTCCTTCCTGAGTGCAAATCAATCCCAGAACAACAGCAAAGGACCTTGTGAAGATGCTGGAGGAAACAGGTACAAAAGTATCTATATCCACAGTAAAACAAGTCCTATATCGACATAACCTGAAAGGCCGCTCAGCAAGGAAGAAACCACTGCTCCAAAACCGCCATAATAATAATATAATATATAATAATAATAAATAATAATATGCCATTTAGCAGACGCTTTTATCCAAAGCGACTTACAGTCATGCGTGCATACATTTTTTTTTTTGTGTATGGGTGGTCCCGGGGATCGAACCCACTACCTTGGCGTTACAAGCGCCGTGCTCTACCAGCTGAGCTACAGAGGACCACATGGGGACAACTGCACATGGGGACAAAGATCGTACTTTTTGGATAAATGTCCTCTGGTCTGATGAAACCAAAATATAACTGTTTGGCCATAATGACCATCGTTATGTTTGGAGGAAAAAGGGGGTGCCTAGCAAGCTGAAGAACACCATCCCAACCGTGAAGCACGGGGGTGGCAGCATCATGCTGTGGGGGTGCTTTGCTGCAGGAGAGACTGGTGCACTTCACAAAATAGATGGCATCATCTATTTTGTGGAAGGAAAAGTATGTGGATATATTGAAGCAACATCTCAAGACATCAGTCAGGAAGTTAAAGCTTGGTCGCAAATGGGTCTTCCAAATGGACAATGACCCCAAGCATACTTCCAAAGTTGTGGCAAAATGGTTTAAGGACAACAAAGTCAAGGTATTGGCCATCACAAAGCCCTGACCTCAATCCTATAGAAAATGTATGGGCAGAACTGAAAAAGCGTGTGCGAGCAAGGAGGCCTACAAACCTGAATCAGTTACACCAGCTCTGTCAGGAGGAATGGGCCAAAATTCACCCAACCTATTGTGGGAAGCTTGTGGAAGGCTACCTGAAACATTCGACCCAAGTTAAACAATTTAAAGGCAATGCTACCAAATACTAATTGAGTGTATGCAAACTTCTGACCCACTGGGAATGTGATGAAAGAAATAAAAGCTGAAATAAATCATTCTCTCTACTATTATTCTGACATCTCACATTCTTAAAATAAAGTGGTGATCCTAACTGACCTAAGACAGGGAATTTTTACTAGGATTAAATGTCAGGAATTGTGAAAAACTGAGTTTAAATGTATTTGGCTAAGGTGTATGTAAACTTCCGACTTCAACTGTACCTCTAACACTCATATCACCGAGTGAACAGCCCCTTTAATAGCCTGGTGGTCCAGTCAGTTCGTGCTTCAGCCAACTCCTCTCTGTGTCATGCTAAATATGTATTGCTTGAGTTGGCTACAGCACAGTATGGGCCCAGGCTACATTTTTTATATCTATTGTATGGGAAGTCATACTCTGTCAGAACAGTAGTAAGAGTATTAATGGGGGATTTAATTGAACCATAAATATCCCGCCACACAGTCACACAGCGGTCACTTCTGGAGCCATTCTGAAGCCTACAGTAGTTTCCCTCCTATTCATCACTACAGGGAGCATTCCTCCTTTCCCCCTGCCCCCTGCACCCCAACCCCCCTCCATGCGTTTCCTAAATCAGAGCACATACCAGAACAGCAGGCAGTGGTTTAACACTGTTACCCACCCCCCACAGAAATGCCTTTGATACCTTCACGTGTTCCAGTCGCTCTACCTCCCATTCACCACACTGAGTAAACACAGCAGCCAGAGAGAAGTATGCTGCACACACACACATCATACACGGACACACAGAAACACATGCACACACTCTCATATGCATACGCGAGAACACACACGCATTAATCAAAAACTCATTAAAAAGGTTGCAGAGGGTTTATTAATTATTACTTGATATACTGTAGGCATTCGAACACATCTTGGGTGAAATGGAATTTCAGAAATGGCTATAGTGGCAGTCCTAGCAATAGCAATTGAGATAGAACTAAAATAAAACATCAAACAATCAAATAATATCAACTTGGATAGGAAACTAGTGCATGTCCACAAGGGTACATCAATAATTTGGCTTCACTTTTTGACAGTCAACTCAGGGGAAAATGAGAGCAGACAGTATGATGCCAGTGATAGAGCCACACAGTGTGCCTCGGAGGCAGACAGAGATACTGGCCTGCTTTGAAGTGGCCCCTGCCCAGCCCTGCCCTGGCCCCCTGCTGCTGGCTCTGTATTGGGCTTGTGAAAAAGAGCGGAGCAGGCTGCCTTGCCCTGGGCTTAGCTGGGTTATGAGCTCCAGTACCAGCGCTCCTCTGGGACTCTTATCTGAGGGCTGCGTGAGATCTGCTGCACTGCCTTTCCCTTTGAAACTGTACTCTGGGAAATTGGACACTGACGCTCAGGGAGATGACGCCTGCCCTCCTCTTTAAAATGTTTATTTCCCTTCAACCGACACACACACACACACACAGTTAAAGCTACATTTTCCTACATTTTTGGTCCCTTCCTTAACTTTTATTTGCTAGGCAAAGAGATGCAAAGCAGACCTCCACAGTGTTAAACGCAGGATGGAAATCCTGTGTCATTAAGAGGACAGATGAAGTTGAAACGTGGACACAGACATTTTGCCTTTTTATCTGCCATAAACAGCCTGGAAGAGGGAATGGATTCCACACTTCCTTCTCTTCCCTTCCTTCCCGTATCTCTTCTCTCCTTATTCTGCTCATTCTATCCTCACTTCTCGCACTCTCTGAGCAGGCGTAGACACGTAGACAGACACACACGCACACAGACAAGTTCCTTTGAAAGGTAAAGCTTCCCCAGTGGGGACCAGCAGCACATGAAAGCAGACAGCTCTGTTCTCTATTAGCCCATTAGAATTCACAGCACCATTCAGCCTTTTAAAGCTCTGCACTCTTATTATGAGCCAGAGATTAGACTCAGCATTATATGTAATACTAAAGCCATTTTTCCCCTTCCTCTTTCCCCTCCTCTCTCTCTGGCACTATGCATTCACTGCAGCCTAGCAGACTGACTAGAATATCAACACAATGAGCATTATGGCAACTGCATCTGTGAGATGGCAATAACTGAGGATGTGTGCATCTTTTCTTGCTGTTTTTTTTTAGCTCCGTGTTTATGAAACAATGTTTCCAAACCCACTTAAGACATCAGCAGCACTCAGGACCTGTAAACACTGTGCTGGACTTGAATCATGTCTGATTACTCAAGTAACTAGAGCTTTATTTTTAGCTGAGGTCTCAAACAAAACAAAAAGGAAGGAGGAGAGACTAAAGAAGAATGATGGGCTCTGCTCCGACCGCCTGAGGTCTAAGGCCAACTTCCAAGCAAACCGATAAGCTGAAGTTCTGCCAAGGAGCAACTGGAAATCCCCCTCTGCTTGGAACCATTAGGGTTCACTCACGTCATAGGTCAAGCTCTGCCTGTAACCAAAGATATGATTTGATTTGACAGCAATATCACAGACCAAGACTTATCCTTAAAACGCAACAGGAGAAAGTTGAACGTCTGACAGATTCTCCTAATGGAAGGTGCTATGACAGAACTAAGGCTGTTAGTCAAACAGGACCTAGCAACAGCCTCTTAAATGCAATGGCAAGTTAAGATTTCAATTCTGATCCCATTCACTACCACTCTAAACACTTTCACATCAGCAAGCAACTCTGAAGACTGACCGACTAACGTTATTTGTTTCCCCCCTAAGGTGTGCGGAGGTGTGGTCATTCATGGTATTAATCAATCAATGACTAAAACTTACTGCATATGAATTATGATTGTAATGGGCTGTATGTCTCCACAGATGAGTCATTACTCTCCCTCTCTGTGTGTATGTGTGTGTGTGTGTGTGTGTGTGTGTGTGTGTGTGTGTGTGTGTGTGTAGAAAGAGAGAAGACGTAGAGAGAAAATCTGCATTGGTATACTGATCCACTCATTATCATCCCTCTCACTGTGATTGAAAGATTAATACGGCTTTTAATATCGGTCAGAGTAAGTGAGAGTGAGTAAAAGAGTGAGTGAGTGAGTGATCTCCTCTGGCTAGGGAGCTAATAAGGTTGATAACTGCCGATGGAGAGAGAGGCTCTCAGATTGAATCCTACCACCAGTGAGAGTACCCTGGCCTGGCCTCAGCTCAACCAGATGGAGGGGGAGCAGTTGAGGCACATGGAGGAGGAGAAGGAAGGGACTGCCAGACCCTGACATCAGCCTGCCACGTGTCTCCGGAGATAGCACGATGAGCATGACAGCTACCCAGGTCTCTGACAGGAGGCGGAGGTCACTCAAGGTTGTCACATAGAAATGAAATCATGGGCCTTCCCAGTTCATTTGACACATGGGTGAGCAAGCGTTTTGGCGGCCAACAGCGTGTGTGCGTGTCAGTGGAGGCTCCTCACAGGATGATGGGGAGGACCATCCTACTCAGTGAATTTCAGAAAGATACAAATTGTGAAACACAAAAAAATATCATTTTTAGATACAACTATACTAAATATATTCACGTCACCAAATATTAAAAAGGTCTATAGTTGCCTCAACAGCACTCCGTAGGGTAGAACCATGCTGTAGCCAGGGGACAGCTTTTTCCGTCATCCTCCTTGTGGTACATTGACTTCAATACAAAACCAAGGAGGCTCATGGTTCTCAACCCCTTCCATAGACTTACACAGTAATTATGATGACTTCCGGAGGACGTCCTTCAGAGCTCTTGCAGCATGAACTGACGTGCCCACCCAATCAAAGGATCATGAATTTAGTACTGAAAGCATAAGCTACAGCTAGCTAGCACTGCAGTGAATATAATGTGGTGAGTAATTGACTCAAAGACAAAGAACGGCAACAGTTGAGAGAGAGCTATAATTAGTTGTATTTTTTTCCAATTTCAATTACTTAGCTAGCTAATGCAGCTAACTTAGCCTACTCAACAACCTGACTCAGAGAGGAATGTTATTTATGTTAGCTAGCTGGCTAAGGCTATCCAACGCTCCAACTCTTCCAAGTCAAGGTAAACTTTCGGTTTTGATTAATTTATTGCCACCAGGGCTCACCGGTGTAACTGCTAAACTGATTGCTGTACACTGTACTGCGTGATTGTACACATGGATTGTATTGTGGGTTTACTAATGCGTTAGTTTTAGTAGCTATGTTGACTATGATGTTAGCTAATACGGTGACAACAATGTAGACTGTGTGTAGCGGTTATGGTATGAAGGTTTGGCTTGTAGAGGTTTGTTCGCCTGGTCACAGACAGCTGTTGTGTTGTGCACTGAAGTCCACAAGAGAAGGGAAAATGTGAGAGGAGGAGAGCGCGTAGATGCGGGAAGGAACTATACAACAAGCAAAGTGATGATGCTGTTTTTATGTGGCTGCTGAAAGTGAACTGTGTGTGCGGGTGATCAGGGGTGTATTCATTCTGCCGATTCTGTTGCAATACGTTTCTTAAACAAAAGCAAACGGAACAAAATGGGAATGGACCTACCTGAATTTGTCCAATAGAAACTCTAATTTAGTTTTGCAACTGTTTGGAATCATTATTACACCCTAGATCAGCTAGATGCAGGCAAGAGTGTGCAAGGCGGTATTGAATGTGTCACTGTCTGTCACCTTGATTATTCCAATTTGTCTCTCGACCTAAGTTATAAACTTTCATTTGTAGGCTAGGTTGTAGCAACCTCATGATGGGTTTAGGGCAAATTTGAGTATCATGTAGTAGCCTAAACCTAACATTGAGCTGGGTGAATGGAATATGAATGACAGTCATCCAATATGCTGCAATAGAAATATGGCCATGATCATAAAAATTTAATAAAAATGTCCTGCCTAATCTTAAAACGGCACCGACCGCCAGGTGCGTATATGTGTGAGCGTGCATGCGTGTTAAAAAGGTTAGGGGTGTCATTGAGAGGAGGTTAACTAACAGAGGAAAGAGAAAAGAGAGAGAAAGAAAAGAAGATGGAGAGATGGAAATGTAATTAACTTAATAAGAGAGAGCTATCGTACAGACAAAATGAGAGGTCCTTGATACACAAGATACACCACAACCATCCCACACATGGGGTTTCATGGGAACTGATGAGATTGTTGCTTCTCTGTGGTCAAGAGAGAAGAGAGGGGATTAAAATACCCTAGAGTAGGGGCTTGGAGTAGGGGGAGGGGGGGTTTGAGGGGATGACAGTTTGCCTGGTGCTAAGCTGCCTTGGTGACCCTGAGAGGCATGATGTAGGGAGTAGTTATGGGGGGGGAATCAATACTGTCACTTATCAGGATATTATTTGACAATATCGCAATATTAGTTTTGCGTAAGTCAGCTGTACCTGCACCAAAACTCCAGTATTTTTCCTTCATAGCTTGTAAATAGTATTTTTCCTTCATCTTCTTTGAAAATAGTGAGCCGATTTGTTTTCAGCACTTTTATTTCCATGACTGATCAAAATGAGTTATTTTCTGATGGCTCTCTCTTGTCCCTCTGCAGCAATATGTTTGGAACATCGAATCGCAATATCGAATCTCAATACATATACACAGAGTGTACAAAACATTAGGAACACCTAATATTGAGTTGCACCCCCTTTAGCCCTCAAAACAGCCTCAATTCGTCAGGGACTCTACAAGGTGTCAAAAGCGTTCCACAGGGATGCTGGCCCATGTTGACACCAATGCCTCCACAGTTGTCAAGTTGGCTGGATGTCCTTTGGGTGGGGGACCATCCTTGATACACACGGGGAACTGTTGAGCATGGAAAACCCAGCAGTGTTGCAGTTCTTGACACACTCAAACCGGTGCGCCTGGCATCTACTACCATACCCCGTTCAAAGGCAGTTAAATCTTTTGTCTTGGCACACATACACAATCCATGTCTCAATTGTCTCAAGGCTTAAAAATCCTTCTTTATCCCGTCTCCTCCCCTTCATCTACTCTGAAGTGAATTGAACAGGTGACATCAATAAAGGATCATAGCGTTCACCTGGATTCACCTGGTCAGTCTGTCATGGAAAGAGCAGGTGTTCCTAATGTTTTGTACACTCAGTGTAGCATCGTGAGACTTGCAATACATATTGTATCGGCACCTAAGTACCATGAAATCGTATCGTGAGGTCCCTGGCAATTCCCAGCCCTAGTAGGGGGTGTGAGGAAGATCTGGCCAGCTGTGTGTGTGTGAGCAGGCAAACATGGAGTTTTTTGTGCCCTATGCTCTTTTATCTGTTTTACATGATTTACATGAAAAGCTTAAAAATAATAATTGTTATTGTTAATAACGTGTTTTTATTGTATGACAGATAGAGGTTGTAATCTTCCCACTGTCTCGACGGCCCAGTAGTACATCGTTTCCGGTCTGTGATGCTGCTAGTGACAAGAGGCACTAATGTCTGTGTCTGTATGTATATGATGGAGTGGGCGGGCAACAGCCATGATCAGTGTCTTCTTTACTACCGAATATGTAATACAGTCAAAATCCCACTGATCTCCAGCAGAGATGGAATGTAGCTGTTGAAGACAGATGGGCAAATGGACAGAATTCTTTGACACATTAACCACAGGCCTCTCTCATATACACTACCGTGATTTTTTTGTCCATTAAAATAACATCAAATTGATCAGAAATACAGTGGACATTGTTAATGTTGTAAATTGCTATTGTAGCTGGAAACAGCTGATTTTTAATGGAATATCTACATAGGCGTACAGAGGCCCATTATCAGCAACCATCAGTCCCGTGTTCCAATGGCACGTTGTGTTTGCTAATCCAAGTTTATCATTTTAAAAAGGCTAATTGATAATTAGAAAACCCTTTTTAATTATGTTAGCACAGCTGAAAACTGTTGTGCTGATTAAAGAAGCAATAAAACTGGCCTTCTTGAGACTAGTTGAGTATCTGGGGCGTCAGCAATTGTGGGTTCGATTACAGAATCAAAATGGATTGAAACAAATAACTTTCTTCTGAAACTTGTCAGTCTATTCTTGTTCTGAGAAATGAAGGCTATTCCATGCGAGAAATTGCCAAGAAACGGAAGATCTCATACAACTCTGTGTACTACTCCATTCACAGAACAGCGCAAACTGGCTCTAACCAGAATATAAAGAGGAGTGGGAGGCCCTGGTGCACAACTGAGCAAGTGGACAAATACATTAGAATGTCTAGTTTGAGAAACAGACGCCTCACAGGTCCTCAACCGGCAGCTTCATTAAATAGCACCCGCAAAACACCAGTCTCAACGTCAACAGTGAAGAGGCGACTCCGGGATGCTGACCTACTAGGCAGACTTGCAAAGAAAAAGCCATATCTCAGACTGGCCAATAAAAAGAAAAGATTAAGATGGGCAAAAGAACACAGACACTGGACAGAGGAAGATTGGAAAAAAGTGTTATGGACTCCTGCAAATGGAGGATTCTTTGACGAGAGCAAAGTTTGAAGGACACAATTATTATTTCTATTCAAAATCATTATTTCTAACCTTGTCAATGACTACATTTCCTATGCATTTTGCTATATTTCCTATTCAAACTGATTTCATGTATGTTTTCATGGAAAACAAGGACATTTCTAAGTGACCCCAAACTTTTGAACGGTAGTATATATATACAGTTGAAGTCGGATGTTTACATACACTTAGGTTGGAGTCATTAAAACTTGTTTTTCAACCACTCCACACATTTCTTGTTAACAAACTATAGTTTTGGCAAGTCGGTTAGGACATCTACTTTGTGCATGACACAAGTCATTTTTCCAACAATTGTTTACAGACAGATTATTTCACTTATAATTCACTGTATCACAATTCCAGTGGGTCAGAAGTTTACATACACTAAGTTGACTGTGCCTTTAAACAGCTTGGAAAATTCAAGAAAATGATGTCATGGCTTTAGAAGCTTCTGATAGGCTAATTGACATCATTTGAGTCAATTGGAGGTGTACCTGTGGATGTATTTCAAGGCCTACCTTCAAACTCAGTGCCTCTTTGCTTGACATCATGGGAAAATCAAAAGAAATCAGCCAAGACCTCAGAAAACAAATTGTAGACCTCCACAAGTCTGGTTCATCCTTGGGAGCAATTTCCAAACTCCTGAAGGTACCATGTTCATCTGTACAAACAATAGTACGCAAGTATAAACACCATGGGACCACGCAGCCGTCATACCGCTCAGGAAGGAGACGCGTTCTGTCTCCTAGAGATTAACGTACTTTGGTGCGAAAAGTGCAAATCAATCCCAGAACAACAGCAAAGGACCTTGTGAAGATGCTGGAGGAAACAGGTACAAAAGTCTCTATATCCACAGTAAAACAAGTCCTATATCGACATAACCTGAAAGGACGCTCAGCAAGGAAGAAGCCACTGCTCCAAAACCGCCATAAAAAAGCCACACTACGGTTTGCAACTGCACATGGGGACAAATATCGTACTTTTTGGAGAAATGTCCTCTTGTCTGATGAAACAAAAATAGAACTGTTTGGCCATAATGACCATCGTTATGTTTGGAGGAAAAAGGGGAACGCTTGCAAGCCGAAGAACACCATCCCAACCGTGAAGCACGGGGGTGGCAGCATCATGCTGTGGGGGTGCTTTGCTGCAGGAGGGACTGGTGCACTTCACAAAATAGATGGCATCATGAGGAAGGGAAATGATGTGGATATATTGAAGCAACATCTCAAGACATCAGTCAGGAAGTTAAAGCTTGGTCGCAAATGGGTCTTCCAAATGGACAATGACCCCAAGCATACTTCCAAAGTTGTGGCAAAATGGCTTAAGGACATCAAAGTCAAGGTACTGGAGTGGCCATCACAAAACCCTGACCTCAATCATATAGAATATTTGTGGGAAGAACTGAAAAAGCGTGTGCGAGCAAGGAGGCCTACAAACCTGACTCAGTTACACCAGCTCTGTCAGGAGGAATGGGCCAAAATTCACCCAACTTATTGTGGGAAGCTTTTGGAAGTCTACCCAAAACGTTTGACCCAAGTTAAACAATTTAAAGGCAATGCTACCAAATACTAATTGAGTGTATGTACATTTCTGACCCGCTGGGAATGTGATGAAAGAATTCTTAAAATAAAGTGGTAATCCTAACTGACCTAAAACAGGGCATTTTTACTAGGATTAAATGTCAGGAATTGTGAAAAACTGAGTTTAAATGTATTTGGCTAAGGTGTATGTAAACTTCCGACTTCAACTATAATATATATATCGATAATTCAAGGATTATTTTAACAGAGGGGCAAGTTTCTCAAGTAACTCAACCTGTCACTCAGCTGTCAGAGAATGGTTTGAGGGGTCTCTGTTAGCAGCACACCTCACATCATGACCGCTGCCTAGCGGAGGTGGGAAACAACATGCCTCCCATGTGTGACTTAGTACATTTATATTAAATTGAACCTGTGGTCCTCTGTAGCTCAATTGGTAGAGCATGGCGCTTGTAACGCCAGGGTAGTGGGTTCGATCCCCGGGACTACCCATACGTAAAAATGTATGCGCACATGACTAAGTCGTGTATTATTAGATTATATTATTATGAAGAGAGCAATGCCCCCCTCAGGTTTAAAATCCCATTGCTCATTGGAATGGGAGGTGATGGTAATAAACTGACAACGGCTCCGCTCTCGGCTCCATCTGACCTTCTAGGGAGCTCTGGGAGCCAACTCCAGTACTCAGAGTGACAGCAGCCAGAGAGAGGGAGAGCGATGGAGAGCGAGGGAGAGAGGGCTGCTATCTTGTGATAAATAAAGGAGTGATAGAGCCCTGACAGGAGCGCTCGCTGGCTCTGCTCTGTCACTGGAGACTTCTACAACCCCCTGCCTGGAGCGGGCGGGAGGACAGAGGAACAGTCCTGAACCTCCCATGCTTTTTCCATTTACACTGGCCTAGCGTCTGCAGCTGACAAAAACACAATTTGCACTAAAACAAGCGATCAATATGAGATGGGGACATATGGAGAATATAGGCCTAGGGATTCTGTATATAGAGATGTAACCTCCTGGTTACTTTTAGCTCTTTCTTGCATGGACTAATTTAGTTACATTGTTGCATTGGGGACATATTTTGGAAATGGACCCATTGCTAGGCAACAGTCTGAGGCGTGAGAGAGGGAGAAGGTTAACCCCACGAACTCCGTGAGCTTTCAAGACGGCTAGTTACAGTGCCTTCAGAAAGTATTCACACCCCTTGACCTTTTCCACATTTTGTTGTGCTAACAGGGTGGGATTAAAATGGAATGAATTACAGTTCCTAAGGAAATCAGTCAGTCAATTGAAATAAATTCATTAGGCCCTAATCTATGGATTTCACATGCATCTGTTGGTCAGATACTCTACATTACATTTTACATTTGAGTCATTTAGCAGACGCTCTTATCCAGAGCGACTTACAGTTAGTGAGTGCATACATTTTCTATACTGGCCCCCCTGTGGGAATCGAACCCACAACCCTGGCATTGCAAGCGCCATGCTCTACCAACTGAGCTACATGACCAAAAGTATGTGGACACCTGCTCATCGAACATCTCATTCCATGGGCATTAATATGGAGTTGGTCCCCCTTTGCTGCTCTAACAGCCTCCACTCTTCTGGGAAGGCTTTCCACTAGATGTTGGAACATTGCTGCGGGGACTTGCTTCCATTCAGCTACAAGAGCATTAATGTGGTCGGGCACTGATGTTGGGCGATTAGGCCTGGCTCGCAGTCGGTGTTCCAATTCATCCCAAAGGTGTTCGATGGGGTTGAGGTCAGGGCTCTGTCCAGGCCAGTCAAGTTCTTCCACACCGAACTTGACTTACCATTTCCGTATGGACCTCGCTTTGTGCATGGGGGCATTGTCATGCTGAAACAGGAAAGGGCCTTCCCCAAACTGTTGCCACAAAGTCGGAAGCACATAATCGTCTAGAATGTCATTGTATGCAGTAGCGTTAAGATTACCCTTCAATGGAACTAAGGGGCCTAGCCCAAACCATGAAAAACAGCCCCAGACCATTATTCCTTCTCCAACAAACATTACAGTTGGCACTATGCATTCGGACAGGTAGCGTTTTCCTGGCATCCGCCAAACCCAGATTTGTCCATTGGACTGCCAGATGGTGAAGCGTGATTCATTACTCCAGAGAATACGCTTCCACTGCTCCATTTCATGAAGCTCCCGACAAACAGTTATTGTGCTGACATTGCTTCCAGAGGCAGTTTGGAACTCAGTAGTGAGTGTTGCAACCGAGGACAGACAATTTTTATGCGCTACGCACTTCAGCACTCGGCGGTCCCGTTCTGTGAGCTTGTGTGGCCTACCACTTCGCGGCTGAGCCGTTGTTCCTAGACGTTTCCACTTCACAATAACAGCACTTACAGTTGACCGGGGCATCTCTAGCAGGGCAGAAATTTAGCGAACTGACTTGTTGGAAAGGTGACATCCTATGGCGTTGAAAGTCACTGAGCTCTTCAGTACGGGCCATTCTACTGCCAATGTTTGTCTATGGATATTGCATGGCTGTATGCTCGCTTTTATACACCTGTCAGTAACTGGTGTGGCTGAAATAGCCAAATCCACTAATTTGAAGGGGTGTCCACATACACTACATTGCCAAAAGTATCTTGATTACATAAGTATTCAACCCCATGAGTCAATACATGTTAGAATCACTTTTGACAGCGATTACAGCAGTGGGTCTTTCTGGGTACGTCTCTAAGAGCTTTGCACACCTGGATTGTACAATATTTGCACATCATTATCAAGTTCATTGTTGATCATTGCTAGACAGCCATTTTCAGATTTTGCCATAGATTTTTAAGCCGATTGTAGTCAAAACTGTAACTAGGCAACTCAGGAACATTCAATGTCATCTTGGTAAGCAACTCCTGTGTTTATTTGGCCTTGTGTTTTAGGTTATTGTCCTGCTGAAAGGTGAATTTTACTCCCAGTTTCTATTGGAAAGCAGACAACCAGGTTTTCCTCTAGGATTTTTCCTGTGCTTAGCAATTCCATGTATTTTTATCCCCCCAAAAACCTAGTTCTCCCTAGTTAATTTCTTTGCCACAATTTTTGCAGTTTTACTTTAGTGCCTTATTGCAAACAGGATGCATGTTTTGGAATATGTTTATTCTGTACAGGCTTCCTTCTGTTGTTGATCCATCCTCAGTTTTCCCCTCCATCACAGCATTAAACTCTGTTTTAAAGTCACCATTGACCTCATGGTGAAATCCCTAAGCAGTTTCCTTCCTCTCTGGCAACTGAGTTAGGAAGGACGCCTGTATCTTTGTAGTGACTGGGTGTATTGATACACCATCTAAAGTGTAATTAATAACTTCACCATGCTCAAAGGGATATCCAATGTCTGCTTTTTATTTTTTACCAATCTAACAATAGGTGCCCTTCTTTGTGGTTGAATCTATGTTTGAAATTCACTGCTCAACTGAGGGACTTTACAGATAATTGTATGAGTGGGGTACAGAGATGAGGTAGACATAAATAAAATTATGTTAAACACTATTATTGCACACAGAGTGAATCCATGCAAATTATTGTGACTTAAGCACATTTTTACTCCTGAACTTATTTAGGCTTGCCATAACAAAGGGGTTGAATACTTATTGACTCAACACATTTCAGCTTTTCATTTTCTATTAATATGTTTTTAAAAATGGGGGTAGGCCAGTGTGTAGGCCAGTGACACAAAATCTAAATTTAATTCATTTTAAATTCAGGCTGTAACACAACAAAATACTTTCTGAAGGCACTGTAATGGTTTTATTGTTTTGAAAGTTAGTTGAACTCGGTCTGAGTAACCCCAGTAATGAACGGTTAGCCCTGCATCCCGACCACGTGAGGACGGCGTAAGATATATATATATTTTTTTATTCGGGTTCTACTGGCATCGGAAGACCTCTGTTTTTGCTCTCCTCCCGCTCGGAGGCTCGACCGTTGGAGATGATGTGAGAGACTGAGCTCTGAGTGACAGGCCCATTGGACTGTTTGCACTGGTGCGCTTCTCATCAGTCACGCACAGGTGACCTGGATTCCGGACCGTGAGTTTCATTGGATTGGGGACTAATTACTTTGCTATTTCTTTTATTGGTTTGAAGGGGATCCCCATTGTATAAAATGAGCGCTTTTCGGTATTAAACCCTGGTACCAGGTCCTTCCTAAATAAGTGTATATCTGTGACTTATTTGAGTATTGAAATGTGTTAAATAATAATTGTTGGGTTACATATGATTCCAGTTTGAGCTTTCTATTGAGACTGATTTTATTGCGATTACACTGACATGTCTTCATAACTCATAACTTCAATTCTTGTTTGGTGTGTAGTTCTATATACTGTGTGGGCATATCTCCTAGTGGGTCAACTATATATTCTTTAGGGATATATTACTTACTAGGTGGAGGCACTGCGCTACTTTATGGTTAGGCCCACACATACATATACATTTTCACATGCTGCCTACTTACAGACCAAATAGTTTCATATTGCCACACACCTAGATACTAGGTCCAAACTGATAGGAACTCAGGTCCCTCAGAAGAGAGGGACAGAGATTATAGGGATAGAAAGATACATTGAGATAGCTTTTGCAGTTGTGCCAATGCTCAGTCTACATTAAAGCCTTGATGTTGGCTCACACTCCTGCCCTGCTAACCTATGATAGATTTCAGTATGCAGAGATGCAGTTATATGAGGATATCCATCCCCAGTCAGACCTATACTGTCACAAAGCTAAGGGCAATACCACAGGGACACCAACGCCATTAAAATAACACTCTTTGCATGAAAGATTGACTTTCAAATTCATGATGCATCCCATTTATCCACCTTGGCAGACCTGATTTAAATTATTTAAACCATTGAAGCATATTCTCACTAGCTGATACAGGCAGTCTCCCAGACTACCATTCATCTACACACACTGAACAGATTATAAAGGTATCTGGGATGACCTCGACATGTACCCCCAGGCTGAATGTGAACACCAGCTCTCTATTGAGAACCATTCATTCATATCTACTCTGAGCTGGAGTGTGACTGTGGACAGGACAGGGATGGTTGGTACTATAGCTTACCTTGTGCCAGCATGCTGAACTCAAGGAAGAGCGCGATGTGGTAGAGCTCCATGGCCTCCTCAGTGCGGGTGCTGGCTCCTCCCCTGCCCCCTGCCACCAGGACCTGCACCTCCCCCAGGCTACCGGCCGAGGGGCTCCCCCTCAGCACCAGCCCCAGCTCCACCACATCCGTGTACATGCAGTGAAGGATGACCCGCACATACTTCCGCGGGATGATGGACTCGTCCAGCACGATGCGTGTGGGTGTCTGCAGCGTGCGCTCCGTCATCTCCTCCCCCGTGCGGATGCGCCGCTGCAGAAGGTTCCGGAAAAAGGGTGAGCGGGCCGAGAGCACGGCCTTATGGGCCCTCAGGTCCTCGTCTGGGGAACCCAGCCCCCGGCAGCCCCCTGTGGCAACACCCCCTCCAGCCCCCCCACTGCTGTAGGCCTCCACCAGCTCCGCGTCGGAAGAGAAGCTGAGTAGGGCGTCGTAGTAACACATGTAGTCAAATAGCCCTCTCATGTCTGCCTCCAGGGAGTTGGGCGTGCCAAACTCCTTGCTCAGTTGCACCAGCACGTCCACGTTCTGCAGCCTGGAGTCCTCCACCCCACCCACCCCAAACTCCCCTGTGTACAGGTAGTGCAGTAGTGCAGAGAACATGGGCACATCGATGCCCACCGTCTCAATGTCCATAAGGACCTCAGCGCCGTACCCTGGAGAGGAGGACAGTAGGGTCTTGAAGAAGGGGCAGCGGGAAGCCAGCACGGCGCGGTGGGCGGGGAAACAGGAGTCCTGGAAGATGAGGTCCACGTCGGTGCAGTACTTGTGCTGGTAAAGGGCAGCCAGGTCACGCTGTAGGCTGGGTGCCTTGGCCCGCGCTAAGCTGGCATGAAAGCTCAGCTCTTTGAGGGAGGCTGTGCCCTCATACTCCTCCACTAGGGCGTTGGCATCACGCACATCCCACCCCGACAGGAGCTCCTTCATCTGGCGGGCATGGTCTGCAGAACGGCTGGACTTACGGCGCTTGATGAACCTCCTCTTGAGAGTGGCCAGACCCAGGCTCTTCTTCTTCCTGTCATGGGGCTTGTCGTGACCCTGCTCCAGGCTGTACAGCTTGGACTCCCAGCCATAGCCCTGCTGGGAGTATGACGACGTCCCTGCAACACACACATAACATAACATAACACAGAGGTCAGCTGGTTCAAATGTCGTGGTTATTTCTGAACAGGGAAATAAGTTATGCTAGGATTTTATTCATATGATACATGTATCTTGTTTTTCCACAGCTGTTTTCTAAATGCAGTCAATTCCTCTGGCTTGATAGCATTTAGAGTTTTCCATTTCTAGTCTGAAAGCATGACCCTAGGAAACCCAATCTGTCTTTTCTCCTAGCCCAGTCATGTGACCTGTTAAGACTGTCCAGACACACCACTCTGCTCTAGGTCCCCCACAGCGTGCTTGGCTCTCCCATGATCTAGGGCCTCATGTCTCTCATTTCACAGATAATTCAACTCTCTGTTAAGAAAGGAACAGGCCATCATTATCTGACTTTGATTAAGGTTTGGTTGGAATTAGACGGCAACAGGAAGTTAAACATGGACTAAAACGTTTTGTATTGTGTCAGTTTGGGGGGGTAGGAAAGTCCCCCTTCCCCTGTAGTCTTCTGCAATGCACTTGACCACCCATACACTAATGAACTACCCCGAATATCAGTGATGTTTGGCTGGAGAGAGGGGACTCGCATCAGAGGCAGCACTGCCAAATAGAAAAGTCTCTCTCTGCCCTTCCTTCCCTGAGCATCCATCACTGTGACCCACATAATAGTAATTCTAATATTGTGACTCATCCTCCGTCTACGCCTGCACAGCCAAGCTTACAACCAACAAACGTTAGAACTGTGAAGCCATCCTGATATTTTTTGCAATCTACAGGGCTTTCAACCCAATCAAATCTCCCTGAGCTGGGACTACAGACAAGAAACGTGTATAAAAGCCTGGGGGTTTTCGTTAAGCAGACAAAAACTACTCTCTAAATAAATTAATAAGCAGCCACTCATAAATGGTGACTTTCATTTCATAAGTCAAGACTGACAGAACTCTTCTTGTAAAAATGAGAACCTAAATCAGTTGCTGATTGAAATGTTACACTGGAACTGAAAAGAAACTCCAACCAACCACCCTCCACAATGACTTGCACATTCCTGTATCATGCATCACATTTTAAGCATATAATTTATCTATGTTCATATCCTTGCCATGAAGGTCTGTTGAGGTCACTGATGATCTACACATGTCCCAGTGAGGACTTTCAAGATACATACACTAGAGTATTATGGTGAAGTAAGAACATTGAGAACTTACCTATGAAGGTCTGCTGTATCTGTGTGTTTCCCCCTATACGAGGGGAGCATGAGTGCGAGTAGCTGGATGCATTGGCACCCATCGTCGCTCCTCTTCACTTGCTGTTCGGGGATCTCCCCTCTTGCATGGTAATTCTGCCCAGGCGAAGCACTTCATTCCTCAGCCTTCGGCTCCCTTTCTCAGGGCCGGGTCCTCTGGAGCCTCCTTTGACACCCAAGCCCAGTCTGCCATGCCTGAAAAGGGGAGATAGAGCAGGGGGGGTTAGCCATGGAGTGATTTGATTGTTTTTGAGTAACTCTGTTACTGAGTAAAGTGCCATGGGGATTAAGGCCTGATGAGACTGTTTATACAATTCAAAACAGACCAGTCTTAATGCATAACCATACATCCTGGCCAATTTCAGACTGATCTCAATTTCCAGATAGAGGATGGACAGAGTTAGTTTTTGCCCCTAAAATACCAGAAATTCCTTTTGAAAATCAAATCATTCATTTCCTCTTGTATAACACTACACATATTTGCTATACATGCAGAGGCTATATGAAGAATAAAAACATGAAAATGTTGATATCATTTTCTAAACCATTCAAAGGTGCTTATGCTTAGCACCACTTGAGACTGGTGCACTTTCTCTGCCTGCCCCTCAGGAAATGTTGATTGGCAGGCAATAATAAATGCAATACAGATATATGGCGATCTTTGTAGGGAACCAGACCCCAGCCCTGTCCAGCCTACCTCTTTTAAACCAAAAGCCCCATACAAACCCCAGCTCAACCCATCTCTGCAGGCCCAGCCCTAGCTCCAGTTTGCCCCTGCACCCAACCTCACTCTCTGTTAGCTCCTCCATTGACCCAACCTGACCCTCTGGGAGGCTGGCGGGAAGTTCCAATGCAATGGGAGATCTGCTTTATCTCAGATGGATGTTTTTACCCCCGGCACTATAACCAGCCTCCCAGGGGCTCACAGTAACACCACACGCTCTTCACTCACACATTGGGAAACCAAACATTCACACTGGAATACACTCAAACCTAATAAAACTGTTTCACATATACTAAGTTATGGTTGATCTTTGTTTCATCAGAGGGATGGATATGTAACTAAAAATAAGCCAGGCTTCAGGGAGAATATGGACTGGATTTGTGTAGAGAATTTTAATATCTAGTATAGAGAAGAAGAAAAAAACAGATGTACCGTCTTGTTTACAAAAGAAGGTCCTCTGAGGTGCAGTAGAAAAGCAGAGCAACAATGCATCCATCACATCAGCCAAACAATACACTCCCAGCTTTACACAGCCAGAGTCCAAAACAATCATCTTCAAGAACCACATTTTCAACTAGGATCCTGGAAGCATATCTTAATGTTTGTAAAAACAACAATTTATTTGAGACCTGGACACTCAGCATCCCAAGTCTAACTCCACTCTCTCTGATGTTGAATAGGCAGAGGAAGGATGTCTGGGGGTGTGGGGGAGGGACACAGCTGGGCTGGATCAGGGTGTTGGGACTGGGACTGGGTTGGGCCTGTGGTGGGTTTGGGGAGGGGAGTGGCAAGATGAGGAAAGGCAAGGCTAGCTGGGCTATGTGTCACTAATGAGAGGTGACAGGGGAAAGGCTTCACGCCATGGCACTCCCCATCCCCTATCTTTCACTACAGCAGGCTGGGTCGCTGTATTTAATCAGCCACTTAGACTCTTAGAAAAAAAGGTTCTGGATAGAACCAAAAAAGGGTTATATTGCTTGCTTCATCTATGGCACCCCAAAAGGGTTCTTTGATCGGAACCCCAGGGGTTTGTCTTCACGGAACCAAAATTAGTTCCATATAGAACCCTTGGATTCCATATATGGAACCAATTTGTGTATATATATATATATATATATATATATATATATATATATATATATATATATATATATATATATATATATATATATAACCTTAAGGGGTGCCATATATGAAGCAAGCATAGAACCCTTTTTGGTTCTATCCAGAACCTTTTTTCTTAAGAGTGTACAGAGCAGACGGAGTACCTCAGCCTCCCACAGCACATTACCATACAAAACGCCAGGCGGGAATAGGACCAATCTATTATTCAAATGACAGTCAAGTCACTTTATCAATCATTTATATGGATTTTTTTATCAGAGTGCGTAGGAAGAGAAAAGAGGAGACAGGGATATCTCTGGGTCCTACTCATATCCTCCTAAAATTCCAGCTCGCCCAAACCCCTCCTGTTCAGCCTTCATCAGATCATCAACAGTGGCGGTCATCCCACACCAGTCCAGCTCACACGTGCACACAGCCATGAATTTACATAAGGGAGACAGTAACAATTGGGATAACTTGACCTACTAAGTACTCTATAGTCAAAGCAGATGCAAAATGGCCATTTGACTTCTGTTATTACAATGAACCTATAGTCCAGAGTTGCAGATTGGTCTAGTTTTTCAAATGGTTACTGTGCCCATTAGTTCTACGATCCAGAAAGCACTGCGCATTGACCAATCACCATGTCATTGACACAAAGATAGACAGTGGATGACAAACACCAGCAGCAGAAAGAGACACACATTCACTTCATTGCAAGTTACCTAATAGCATATCGATAGCATATTTTATCCTCTTTGAAAAGTGTCAAGGAGAAGGTTCTCTTTCAGCATCGTATCAAATTTATGCTAGGTTATATTCATTTTCCTGGCATCAATAAAGTACCAAGGACTTGAATTGATAGTACACTATACCAGTTCAATCATTCACAAGGCAATATATGAGCCTTTAGCGCTCCATACCCCACAGGGAGTTTCTCTTCATTTACTTACAATGAAGATGTAGAAGAAGGCTATTGATTTCTAAAGTCTTCTCTATTCATTTGGGTTGCCCTACTAATTCATAGCTCAAACATCCAATTACCATTATCATAAAACAAAGCCGTCCCAAGACACCATCAAAAAGGTCAGGATGTGTGACTCCCTGAGCTGGAAATGGAGGTTTGGGACATCACAATGCCATTCTAATAATAAACTCTGTAATGGTCTTCTACCAACACATCTCAGCCAATTGTTGACCAGGAGAGTGAAAGGTGAATAACAAGTAGGCTCTCTGCGTCATTTTCATTGTGTGCTTTACTACTGTGCTAACTAATAAGACAGACTCACACTGTCTGAGACAGCATGTCCCCTCCCCTCTCCATGTCCCTATACCTGTGTCCTTTGCTACTGTATCAGAGGCATAATAAAGCCTTCTAATGAAGGGCTGGGATAGCTTGGGAGGTTGACTATAGAGCAGGACACTGAGCTTGTTAGTATGATGACCACAGTGCTGGCCGTCAAATTGATATGTCTCGGCACCTTCTGCTGAGCTCAGACCTGACCTAGCCACCTTTGCCCAACCTGACATAATGGATCAATCACCATTCAGTCAGTGATAGGATACACTCGTTCACTCATTTTGTGACTATGTCCAGTATATCTTGACATTGGACTACTTTCCTTGTCGTTCTGAAACATTGCCATAAAATGTCTGTTTCACTATGTTGGCCAGATTTGGGCCAGAGCCCAGCGCTCTAAAGAAAGATGTGAGAGCTGACCTTGATTTGATTATTTTCCCTACTTTTTCCTCAGGTTTATGGTCTTTCATTTGAGGCTCTGCTGAGTCGACAGACCTAAATGTTTTTGCAGGATAAACTCACTAATCAGGAACAGAACTCTATACATTTTACTCTAAAGGGCAGTAAGAAACATCCAACTATTTGTTTATGTAGTCTGTGAATCACTGGGACAGACTTACAGGGGCATGTAACAAACTGCTTAGCTCTGCAGTGCTTTGGTCCATCAGGCCAATCAGTTGAGCAGTGCATCCGTTCATTCTACTGATTACAGCCGCTGTTAGGACAGCTACCATAAACGACCGGAACAGACCAGAAAACAGAAGCGCAGTGGTGCGCGGGTCAGCTGTTTGTTCACCCGCACCCGCCCACAATTGCTAATAACCCATCTGCAACCACCGACTGACTATATGTGATAAAGTGAAAATCTGAGGCCTGCACCCAACCCTAACCTGCAAATATAGAAGTTGCGCTATAGGCTACAGTCAAAGACTTCATAACGATTTTTTTGACAGGAAAGAAAGTTGTGAAAACGACCCAATGTGTTTCTGATAAAATGTCAGTTCGGCTTAGATGCATATTTTATGTGGTCGAAATACTATCATCTTTTATGATGCTTTTATGGATGAAGACAGCACCTCTACAGATCATATCTAACTGAGCATTACATTCTCTTAAGATGCAGGAAGATAGAAATCATATTTCTCCACTCTTGTTCCCAAGTCCAAATTTTGCCTACATTTGGTGTATCATTTTACTGCAAGAAATGCTTAATTCTGCAGGACTTATTAAGACTATAGCCCTATTCGCCCGGAACTAGTATTACTAGAGGACGTTGGTTATGTGTATTTATTACCCCAGAATGTCCGTTATTCCAGAGGACGATTCAGATGGGATACTGTTTTTTCCAAAACTGCCCCCTGTAATTCTTTATTTCGTTTATTTTGTATAAATTGACAGTGATGACGGAAACCTGGATGTTTTTTTTCTAAGTGTGAAGATATTTCAAGTCCAGGTGATAACAGGCTACACTGATCAAATCAAATCAAATGTTATTGGTCACATGCGCCGAATACAACAGGTGCAGACATTACAGTGAAATGCTTACTTACAGCCCTTAACCAACAGTGCATTTATTTTTAACAAAAAAAGTAAAAATAAAACAACAACAAAAAAAGTGTTGAGAAAAAAAAGAGCAGAAGTAAAATAAAGTGACAGTAGGGAGGCTATATATACAGGGGGGTACCGTTGCAGAGTCAATGTGCGGGGGCACCGGCTAGTTGAGGTAGTTAAGGTAATATGTACATGTGGGTAGAGTTAAAGTGACTATGCATAAATACTTAACAGAGTAGCAGCAGCGTAAAAAGGATGGGGTGGGGGGGCAGTGCAAATAGTCCGGGTAGCCATGATTAGCTGTTCAGGAGTCTTATGGCTTGGGGGTAGAAGCTGTTGAGAAGTCTTTTGGACCTAGACTTGGC